CAACGCTGAGAACTAGAGGTAGACCCTGAAATTGCTGCTCTCTAAAGTGCTATTCTGTGAGACACATCCTGTGGAACCTGCTGGTTTCTTCCATGAGGGGTCAATGGCACAGGTATAAATGATCACCACCTTTCCTGACAACTAGCACGTGTTCTGCATATTCTACCACTGCTATTTTTCAGAGGATGCATGCCTAGCTACACAGCTGTTTTGGACATATTGCTATTCAAGAAAATGTGAATTGCCTACTTCTGAAAGTTCCATTTTTCTTTTTCTAGCTCTCTTATCTTGGAGATGATATAGTTGGGTCATCAATATCTATGAAGATGAAATTAAAGGTATTGATTACCTTCCTTCTGTTTTCATACTCTTCTCCAAATCTTATTATTCAGTAGTGGTTATGCTGGGAATTAAGTTTGTCTATTGATAATGAGGATTCTTTTTTTAAAAAAAATATTTTATTTATTTATTTTTAGAGAGTGGAGAAGGGAGAGAGAAAGTCAGAGAAACACTGATGTGTGGCTGCCTCTTGCACGCCCCCAACTGGAGACCTGGCTTGCAATGCTGGCATGTGCCCTGACTGAAAATCGAACAAGCAATCTTTTGGTTCGCAGGCTCTCATTCAATCCACTGAGCCACATCAGTCAGGGCTGACGTGAGGATTCTTATAATGTTCAGCTTATATAGACTCTAAGCATCATCAGAAATACAGTTGACCCTTGAACAATGTGCGGTTTAGGGGAGCCAACTACCCTTCCAGTCATAAATCCCTGTATAACTTAAATTGGCCTTTTGAACATTTGGATGCCTAACCTCCACTTGATTCTTGAACAGTGCAGGTTTGGACCATGCAGGTCAATTGAACGGCAAAAGTCAACTGAGAAAATCCATGTGTAAGTGAACCAATGCAGTTCGAACCTGGGTTGTGTGAGGGCCAACTTAGGGAGTGTAACTGAAAACGGTGTTTTAATGCCTCTACGACAGCTTTGTTTTACAAAAAAAAACAAAAAAGGGAAAGTGTAAAACTATATTTCTATACACATTTTAAGTCATTAATTCAGAATAGTATAATTTTCTTCTTGGTATCATCTGTTTAAAATTAGCTTTAATTCTGCACTATCATTGACACAACTTTTTCTGAGCTAATATTTACATATAAGTAGAACTTTATGCAATTATTTATATTTAAAGCCATGAAAGAAAGTTTAATGTTGAACAGTTCATCATCCAATACAAGTGCAACAGAAAATATAGTGTGTGTGGGTAAAATTATTAACAATGGCATTAATATGAAAACAAACTTGATAGTAATACTTTTTAAAAATAAATAGTGACCAATAAAATAATTTTAGTGGCAATGGACAATCTGCTTATGGAGCAAGCAGAGAATGCTGTTAAGGTAACTTTAATCACTCTGAAGTGTGTAAAGAAATTTGCTTTGTTCATAACTATCACAAATTGTCCTAAGTATATGCTAGAAAGCAATTGTGAGTCTTAAAAACCTATCTGTGTTAAAAGCCATTCCTGTTATTAATCAACTAATAATAAAATGTAATTGAATTCTACTTAGAAAAAATAACATATACATATAAATTATATATAGTGATCCCTCACCTATTGCGGGAGTTATGTTCCAGAGACCCCCATGATAGGTGAAAATCCGCGAAGTAGCTGCGTTATATTTATTTTATTATTAATATATATTTTAAGGCTTTATAAACCCTTCCCACACTCCTATAAACCTTTCCCATTCTCTTATTAACCTTTCCCACACTCTTATAAACACTTCATATGATCCTAATTTTAACAACATATAAAATTCTATATATGAAATATATATAGAATTCATATATATATAAAACCTGTGATACAGTGAAGCCACACTAAGTGAACCGCGACGTAGCGAGGGATGACTGTATATGAAACGTAAACAAACACCATATGATCCCACCTATTAGTGGAACCTAATCAACAAAACAAATAAGCAAGCCAAATATAACCAGAGAAACTGAAATAAAGAACAAACTGACAGTAATGGGAGGTGGATAATGGGGGAAAAAAGGGGAAGGGTTAAAAAGGAACATATATAAAGGACACATGAATAAAGCCAAAGCGGGGTAGAATCCTGGGTAGAAGGTGAGGTTGGGTGGGGCAGGGGAAGTGGTGAGGGAAAAATGGAGACAACTGTACTTGAACAACAATTAAAAAAAAACCCCAACTGGAACAAAGTAAATAAATTCAGCAAGTTTTAAAATGGAGTCTTCCTTATGTAAAGTAAAACACTATCTTAGCAAATAGGCAGGTTTCATTGCCACTTAAGTTGACCTTTCAAACACCTGGATTCCTAACCTCCACTCGACCTTTGAACAGTGCATATTTGGACCATGAAGGTCAATTGAATTGCAAAAATCAACTGAGAAAATCCACATATAAGTGAATAGATAAACACGGATACCTTATAGGGCCAGATAACTTATAGAACTACCTCGACTCTTGTTTTGATGAGCTCCAGAAAGGGGTTCTTCTGTGTTTACTATGTCACAAGGGCTTCCTATCTCAAGGATAAACCATCCTTATCTCTCTGGTCAATATTAACTTTGTTAGTTAGAATTTGTCAGATTCGATTGCATTATAAAAATAAATGCCTAGTAACCATTAATGTTGTAAACCCACTAGTGCATAATGGAACATTGGTACATTACAATAATCAACAATGTGACTATTTCATTTTAATCTGCCACTGTTCAAATAAAAGGGATTTACTATGACAGCTTTAAAAAATTCTGTAATGAATGTACCAGTGCATGCCGGCTTATATTTCCATATAATTTGAATAGCAGTATAGTTTAAAACTGATGTCAGCTTCTCTGAATATAACCATATTTTGTTGTCAACACTGTGCATCTATGCATTTACATTTACTTAACCCTGGATGAGGTTCTCTACCTGGATGAGGTTCTTTCCTGTCAGCTGTTTTACTGGTGTATCCTTTGCTTTGTTTAAATCTAACCCATGAAAATAGCGTTTGTTTTCATGAAGGTAGGCCAAATATATTCATATATCATGTTATAATGATAATTCTTTTTTCCCCCAAAAGTGAAGACAAGGTAAAATAAATTCACTGTATTTGAATTTTAATCCTGCTTTCTGTGATTCTGTAAAACACTGATAATTGTTTTTTCCAAAGGGCCAGTGGAATCAGAAGTTCTCTTAAGTGCTCTTTCTCTGCTGCAGACATTTTGACATTTATGCCACTAAGACTTAGTCTTTAAAGGTAAACAAACACTGCTGGATAGGATTGGGTTACTCTGTAGTAATGGAAGCACTTGTCTTTCACCACCTCACCACCACCACCACCACCACCACCACAGGCTACCTGTGCTCATGTCAGTATCAGAGAGGGGGACTTCTCATCCACCCACTGAGTTCCACTCTAATTTCATGCAGTGTTCAGGTAAGTAAGTATGTATAGGTGGTACCCTGAAGTGGCTGTGTTCACAGATTTACAATTCTCTGCTCTGGCCTGCACTCTGCTTTGGCAAGATATCCTCATGTTTCAGCTCAGCCTTGGAGCCTCAGTCTCCAAGACACTTTGGTGGAAAAGGAAAGTGCACTCCTAGAATCAGAGGCGAGCTGATTTATATAGCCAGAAGTCCCTGCGCCTGGTCCTTGATAGACTGTCCTCCTGCAAAGGAGGACTCCAAATCCTTCGAGTTTGGCCCAAAAGGCACTGTCCTGATTGGTCGGAATGGACCCACTCTGACTGGTCAGTGAAGAAGCTGTTGGGGATATAGCTGTGCAGTTCACATTGGATGGAGAAAAAGCCTCGGTGCTGGCGGCTAAAATTGGATTTCAGGAGCTCCTTTGTAAGGGCTGCCTCAGATGACAGAAACACAGTGCTGGCAGGCAGTGCAGTGTAGGCTTCTCCTGGAAGTACGGTTTGCATGGGAGGTACCTGTGTAGAAATGGCTGCTAGATTCTGTTACTTACTTATTTTTATAAATTTGATCCTAGTTAGCCACTGAGAACCCATTTTTATAGGTCTCTTCAGGTATCTTCTTTCTCCGGGTCCACACAAAGGACCAGTCTCACCTGAAAACCAAAGTTTTAGTTCTTGGCTTATGGTAGTCAACAACCAAGCAAAAAAGATCATTTGGGGGTACTATTATTGTTAATCATGTTAAGTTATTGAATCTTATAGGAAGCAACAAACTAATATTTGTTCTGAACCTGCCTGCTATTTTGTCTATTGCAGTTTATACACAAGGTGCTTCAACGGAGAAAATTCTATTTAATAGACACAAAATACAGTCTTTACTTACTATATAAGTTCTAATTACAAACAAAAATAAATGATTCAATAAATTCATTTAAACCTCGACAATTCCTTGTAAAAGGCTAAAGTTAATCAGTAAGACTGTGAGTTACCTGAGGGCAGGAACTCAATTGCTCCCTTTTCCTGCTCAATCCCAAGTAGATACAGCTGGGTCAGTAAACATTTGTTCTCTCACTTGAAAAGAGTAATCTTTTACTTTGAAATGATATCTTTGTAAAATGAGTGTAGCAAAGTCAAGCGTGGAACGGCGCATTGAGGGAGGTCGCAAAATCTGAAGAATCAACAGGACAGAGAGGAATCAGAGAAGAGAGAACACTGGAAGGTGATCCCTAAGAAGTAGGAAGAAGCAGGGGTGAGGGTCTGGGGGCGACGTTACTGTAGGGGGGAGGGGTCAGGCAGGAAGTAGCCAAGATTTAGGGGAGTACTTCTCAGGGAATAAGGGGAAAAAGGCACTAGAAAATAGTGCCGCAGTCTCCTTCCTCCCACGTGGGAGCCCCGACTCCGGTGGGTCCCAGGTCCACTCGGCTCCCCGAGGAGCATTCCGAGCGAGGCAGGTGCAGCAGGAGCATGCGCGCGGGGCGCCAGGGGGGAGGCTCTGCGCCCCTACCCTGCGCGTGCACCCCCGCTCCCCTCCCGCGGCACTGCCGGACTAGCGGCGCCCCAGCCAGGACCAGCCCAACCTCCAGCTCCCCGCCTGTCCTGTCGCCTTTTGCAGCTCGGCTCCGCTCGGGTAAGGGGACGCCGCCGCCCAGCTAGTTCAGTCGGTAGATCCTGTGAGCGGCCGCGGAAGCCTGGTCGAGCTTCGAGCCCCGCGCCGGGTGGGGGGGCGCGCGTGACGCCTGCCAGGGGGCCGGGCCGGGAGGTTGGTGGCCGTTAGGAATCGCCCTCGCCGGGTCCCTACTCTTTCTCTTTCGCCTCCAGGCACGCGCCGGGGTCCCCGCGCGAGGCGCTGCCCCACTTGTGCCCCGCCGCACAGCTCCTCTGCTGGTCGCCGAGGTCCGGCAGGGGTGCCGGGCCGCCACCTGGGCGCGGAGGAGCCGGCTTAGCGGGACGAGGGGCGGGGCCCTGGCTCTCTGGGGGTCCGAAGGGGGCCCTTCGACTGCCCTGCGGTAGGCATTTGGCTTTAGTTACCCCTCGGGGCCGGCGTCCCACCCGTCTTCCTGCTTCTTCTCCGCCAGGGGTTCGGGGTAGGAACCTCTGCCGGAGTTCGGACTCCGGCCGTCGGCGTGACCCCCGCGACCGCTTCATCACTCCACTTGCTTTCCTCCCCTTTCCTGCTCCCGGAGTTCTGCCCTGTTCCGGGGTAGGAACCTTGAAAGTGAGTGCAGGGCGGACCTCTGGCCGGTATCTGACGGTTAGAACTAGCTCGTCCTCCTCCCCCAAACTGCTAGGGGGACGCCCAGTCCGAAGTCTCCCTGCCTTCTACGCAGAGGGGCGGAGGTCCGGACTTGCGGATACCGCTTACCAGGGCCAGCGGGGCCAGCGCGCGGTTACCTGCGAGATTGGTGTAAGAGTTTTTCAGGAAGTGGGGGAATGAAGTCGGGGAACTTTGGTGGTGTTATCCTCTGCCTTTTATATCCCAGAGTGTTGATTCAAGTTCACAGGGTGAACTTTATCTTAAATATGCTTTATCCACTTAGAAGGACACTCTTAATCTGTCTGTTGCCCACAGTGACGACTTCAAAAAAGGAAGGTCTGGTTTTGGTTATTGTTGAGACTGCACTGTGTGATAAGCAGATGGAAGTCATCCTGGTTACCTGGACCTGCCTTTGGGCCATTTCCGTGTGGACGAGGACTACTTACTCTCACTTCAGGGTTATTTCCTCTCTACACACTTGTGGGTGTAACCTTCTGGATCCCACAGGTGGAGTTTCTTGTGGCAGGCTCCAGGGTCAGCCCTTAGCTGGAAGAAGTGTAGTGGGGTCTCGTGGTGTTTTCCAGCCCACTTAACTCCAAAAAGGTTAAAGTGGCAAACCGGTGGTGCTGGCTGGAGTTTGTTTTAGATGCTTGACAATGCAAAGACTTTAAATACTTTTAGTTCTTCACAAGATGAGATTTTTGGAGCAGATAAATTGATTGGATTCTGCTATACCCACTGGGTATATAATTGTTGAGTAAGAAGGAAGATAAGCGTGAAACTACTATTAATTATGTTCTGAGGTTGCGAGGCACATTGATGAGTTTGTGTTTTATGTAGTTGACTGCAAAACTGTCACTTAGCACTTTGCTGGAAGATACTGTGATCAAAAGAAGTGTTAAGCTTGGTGTACCTCTACAGTGAGCTCTTGTTTTTGTTTGTTTTTTTTTCCTAAGAAAGGGCATTTGTGGGAAGCTGACCTGGTAAAGACAGAATTAAAGAAAGTTAAGGAACTGCCTTAACTTTAATTTTTGAAGAGAAATTATCATTTGTAAATTTATAAGACTCCTAAGTGAGGTCTACCATCTATACATTTCATTGCAGTAACTGATTTGTACCTTAAGTTACACTTCTAATTCATCTTTATTTTTCTTAAAATTTCACTTGTCATTTGTACAGTAAATCATGTACTACATGTGTTCATACATTCATATGACACTGAAAGTGTCGAGGAGATAAAACATGTGAACCAAATCACTTATGAACAACATATGACAATGAACAAACAAGAGCTGAGACTAAAATGACCTAAAATAAATGCCAGTGGTATGAGACAGACAGTGGCCCAGGGCTTTGGCAAGGAAAGGGTTTTTTGGGGGTATTAAGTGATCAGAAAAGGACTCAATGTTGGGCCTCGGGCTGAGTCTTGAGAAATGGATATTGTATAGATGGACAGGGAGAAGGAAGAGGAGTGGGGGGAACTTGGAGGTAGAAAGGTGTTTCATGTATCACAAGAGGGGTGATTATGACTTGTTTAAAGCTAAGATTGTTTGCAGTGCCCAGCTTGGGCAGTGTAGGTGTGCATGCTCTCCACACCAGCCCCTAAACCTCCCAAACCAGAACACTTGTGTTCTGTTCTTCACGATCCAGTGTAACGCCTCCTCTTCGAAGGCTTCTTTGGTTCTTACACCAGAGTTCCTTCCTTTGACTTCTGTTTTTTCTGGTTTACTTACAATGTATGTATAAAACCAGATTTTTTAAAAAAATAGCCTAGACCGTAGATTTTGCCATTTTCTGCTTATTTATTTGTTTATTTATTTATGTTGAGGTTTAATTGACACACAACATTATATTAGTTTCAGGTATACAACATAATAACTTATGTATATTGAAAAATAATTACCTCAATAAATTTGGTTAACATCCATCATCACACATAGTTACAAAATTTTTTTCTTGAGATGTCAATTTTTAACATCTTCTCTTTTAGCAACTTTGAAATATGCAATGCAGTATTATTAACTATAGTCACCATTAACTATGGCCATCATAAAAAGTTTATGTATTTTTCATAATTTAGTTTCTGTTTTTAAGGAACATACATGTTTATTAAGGGAAGGAACAAGTCCTTAGTTCTGTTTTTATTCAGGATGTTTTGCACTGTGGTCAGAGTTTGGCTTAAATGACATAACCATTCTCGCCTGGTGTGGTACTTGACACGTGGTTAAGTGCATCCTTGACAGATACTTGTAGGACTGAATCCATGTGTGAGCAGGCAGCTGCTGAGCAGAGGTGCCAGTGATACAAGCAGCAGTCAGGAAGATCAGTCTGACTATGAAGGAAGATTTGCAGATGGGAAGTCCTGGAATCCTGCTTGTGAAGAAGAGGGGGGGACCTGAAAGTCACTGGGTGGAAGGCTCTAGAGGTCACACCACCTACAGTCTGACGGAGGAGGCAGGGAGTCCCGTCCCCTCTGCCCCTTTAACCCAGCCAGTTCTTCACGTGTGGTGTAGATTCCCTTTCTCTAGAGCAGAGAAGACTTTGAAATCATCATTAGGTAAGGGTTAATTGTTTCAATTATTTTGATTAAAAAAGAATGCTGCTGCTGTTGAAATGGGAAGTTAGCAGGAGGGCCAGGTTGGTGGGTTGGGAGCAGGGTGGAGCAACTTTCGTTCAGTTTTTAGACTATTGAATTGTAAGAGACACTGACATGGCAGGTTTGTAGAGAGTAACTCAGATGTTGGGCCAGAGAAAGCCAGATAGGAAATACTCAGCCGGAATGGGGGTGTCAATAAAAAACCTGAGACAGCATCTCAGCATCTAGCAGAAAGGAAAGAGGAATTTCATGAGTGGGGAGTGGGGTACACCCAGAGGAGGAGTCAGTGAGGAAAGCTAAGGGGTGGTCAGCTGGGAAGGAAAAATCAGGTGTCACGGTAACAGGGAAGCTGGTGGAGGACCATAGGGGGAATTCCCAGTTAGGTCTGGTCAGTGGCTGATGAAAATCAGAATTGAGAAGATGTACCTGAATTTGGCTAGAAGGAGGTGATCTCAGTGGTCAGGCTTCAGTGTGAGCTGCTGGTAGTGGTTTTTTTTCTGTTTTAGGTCTATGGATGTCCCTTTTCATTTGAATAGTGTTTTGTAGTTTACAAAGCATTCCTACCTATAGCACTGTGAATATATTTTGAGGATAATTTGGGGGATAATACGTTCTTTATTATAAGAACATATGTCCACGTGAAGAAAACTATTTGGGACCATTTAAAAAAACAATGGACTGTTCACGTACTTCAAAGTGGCCCTTACATCAAGTATTAAAAATATAGACATTATATTTAAGCAGAATAAAGCAAAAACAATGAATTAGAAGATACTTGGGCCCTGGCTGGTATAGCTCAGTGGATTGAGCACAGGCCTGTGAAGCAAAGGGTTGCTGGTTCGATTCCCAGTCAGGGCACATGCCTGGGTTGCAAGCCAGGTCCTCAGTAAGGGACACATGAGAGGCAACCACACATTGATGTTTCTCTCCCTCTCTTTCTCCTTTCCTTCCCTTCTCTCTAAAAACAAATAAATAAAATATTTTAAAATATTTAAATTTAAAATATTTTAAAATTTATTAGGAGATACTTGGGAGAAATGAAGCTAAGATACTTGGGAGAAATGAAGCTCTTCAGTTAATCCACACATGTAGTATCTTTTATTTAAACATTTGCACTACTGTTTTTCTGTTTAGAACAGTGCCTCAGAGGAATTTATCTTTATTTTGCAGATATACCTTTCATAGTAGCAGTGGAAAAATGAAACCTTTCCTCTGAGCCCTCCAGAGTTGTCACCGCTCCCCTGGCCTGTGTGTGCCTTCCAGGAAAGGTGCCACTGTGGTAGGGCCCCGTGGAGCGTCACCTGCTGAACCTGGATTTTGTGTTGATTTCAGCTCACGTGTGAAGCATTCTGTTAATGAAACCAGCCATTGTGGAGAATGCTTATGCATCAGATCATTAAGATGGATCTTAAGTGATGAAAGTGTGGTTGCTGCCACAATTAATCATTGAAAATAAGTTGTTTGGAAAGTGTCATGCAGGGGGATGTGGAAGCAGAACCGCGGTGCATGTCTCTTTTCTTTGTCACCGTACCTAGTGCGTGTCTCTTTTCTTTGTCACCGTACCTAGTGCGTGTCTCTTTTCTTTGTCACCGTACCTAGTGCGTGTCTCTTTTCTTTGTCACCGTACCTAGTGCGTGTCTCTTTTCTTTGTCACCGTACCTAGTGCGTGTCTCTTTTCTTTGTCACCGTACCTAGTGCGTGTCTCTTTTCTTTGTCACCGTACCTAGTGCGTGTCTCTTTTCTTTGTCACCGTACCTAGTGCGTGTCTCTTTTCTTT